TTTTTTTGAGATGGAATCTCACTCTGTCGCCCAAGCTGGAGTGCAGTGGCGTGATCACAGCTTACTGCAACCTCCGCCTCCTGGGTTCAAGCAATTCTCGGCCTCAACCTCCTGAGTAGCTGGGATTACAGGTGCCCGCCTCCATATCTGGCTAATTTTTGTATTTTTAGTAGACGAGATTTCACCATATTGGCCAGGCAGGTCTTGAACTCCTGACCTCATGATCCACCCGCCTCGGCTTCCCAAAGTGCTAGGATTACAGGCGTGAGCCACCGCGCCTGTCCTTTGAAACTTTTTATGTAGAAATGGGGTGTCACTGTGGCCCAGGCTGGTCTCAAACTCCTGGGCTCAAGTGATCCTTCCGCCTCAGTCTCCCAAGTAGCTGGGATTACAGGCATGAGACACCATGCCCAGCCTTCTTTAAAAGTTTTAAACTTACTGACGTCCTGTACATGTTTTTTGGGTAGGGTCTGTGAGATAGTCCTACCGAGTATCTTTTCTTCATAAATAATGTCAGCTTCAATGTAAATGCATATTTCAATTTGTCACTATCTCAAAACTTACCCCTTTGGAATTGAGTGCAATTGTAGGTTTCAAAAGCAATTCAGATCTGCTAGCAAATATTGGTCCTTTCCCAGAATTACTTTTAAATCATTTCCATTTCCTTGTGACCTGGCAACCACATACCCTAAGTCAGCCTTTCACAGTAAAGAAGTTTATCCCCTCTTCCTTTTAGGTTAATTCCTAGGTCCTTCTCCATGAAACCTGATTTCTCTGACTGACCAAGCCAATTCCGGATATGCTTTAATAAGTGTCTAAAATGTGTCCTCAGTTCCAAAGCAGTGGGGCGTCCCTGCCGCAGTCCTCTGCTGCTGAGCTCTTAGAACTGATTTGATGCCTGTATTCAAACATGTATGAAACTGACTTACATATGAAATGCTTAGTAAAGTCACCTGAGAGCTTTGAGTCTTCATAGGAGTGTTTGGGGCTTTATTTCCTATCCTGCAGGAAATTGTTAAATTTTGGGGTCCCTTTGTCACCTATATGCACATACCATCATTTTCTAAGCTATTGTTTAAAAGCAGATTTCCCAACTTAGTGGTAAACATTTTCACATTCACTTCATCTTAACATCTCGTCATCAGCTTTATAGGCTTAGCTTTCCTTTTTCTCAAAACCTTCAGAGAACCACACTTTCATGAATAGGACCTAATTCATTATAGGTACATAATAAATGTCTGCAGAAGGAAAGGAGGGGAAATCCCTGAATTGTAACTAACTCAAACCTTAGCAGGAAATCCCTTCCAGCAGATCTCTTCAACCTCATCTTGGACTTGTGAAAAGATAAGAGAAGATAGTTTACTCTCACATTAAATTATTTGCCAATTTTCTGCATCAGATCACAGAACTGGATAATCGTGTTTAAACTCCTTTAACATGAACACCAACCCTTCTTTAACAGAAGTACCTCCTTAGGCGCAGAGTGACTAAGTAGAACTGGAGCTGAGAACTTGAATCAGACCTCAGGTTTTCCAACTTCTAGCCCAGACGTTTATCTTAAAGACTTTCTGCTTTGGTTTCTTTTTTCCTCTTCTATCTTAAAAATCCTAATTTATTTGTAAGTGGGTTCTTACTACCAAATGCCACTGCCCTTGTTCACATTGACATAAGAGGATATAGAGTTGCTCTTATGCAGGTTTGGAGAAGGAACAGTTCCCATTTCTCTGTGAATGAGTTCGCTTTCATATTTTCCTGAATATATCAGGGATCTTTATTTAACAGGTGCTATATGGCTCACTCAGGAAATTATCTTCTTATACTTTATAATTAATGAAAAAACTGTTTCTTATATTTCTAATATTTGCCATCACCTCCTGGGTTATATGTTTCACTTGAGTCATTAGCTGTTTTTGATTTGTAGTGATAAGGCATCCGATTTACATTCACTGCACAATAAAATAACCCCCTACACAACCGCCTGGGTTCCTACCTCCCAGGAACATCAGGCAACCAGGAGTGACCACCTCTCAGTGCGTTGCCAGGAGGCATCCGGGGCCTGACCTTCATTCTCTCACCCCAGAAACCTCTCTTCTCCTGCTAGTCTCATTAGGACTTTCTCCCTTTTTTATATTCCTCAATTTTATATTCCTCAATTCTGTGTAACAGTTAGCACTCCACAAGGTTCCTGTGGCATTCTAGGTTTCTTCTGGAAGCCAAGTACTCCAGCCACACCTGGAGTAAGAGAGATGTGACAGTGTTCCCGAAGAGAGTAGGTGACTGGTTGTTGTACCTAGAATTCATTGAAAAGAGCTATGGAAGATCTTTGTTTTAACGTTTTGTAATTTGCATCTCTATGCCCTGAGCCATTCATTGCCTAAGGATCCTTGTCTCTAGCTGGGAGAAGAGCTCTTTTGGATAGTGCCACTGCCTGAACCGCCAGCAGGGGGAGCCATGGCAGCGGGGTTTGCCTGGCACCCGCCAGGACAGGGAGGGATTTCTCCCGTTGCTTTGGAAACCAACCGTCAGAGTCAGCCCTGTTTATTATTAGCTGCGGAGTTAACGGCGTCTGTGCTAATGAACTCCTCTGATGTCTCTTAAGCATCCTTCTAGTGAGTGATAGTTTCCCTCCCCACCCTGTGATACCAGATTTTATTTATCTTTATCATCTTTCAACAAAGTTTACTTTCTCATGGATATAAACCCTTTGTAGTTCTGGCAATTGAAACAAATTTTAAAACTTTTATTGATATCATCAATCAAATATATGTATAAAATGAGAAGTACTTCTAGGATGTTACCTAAAACTTGAGTTTTAAACCATTTAATGGTATTTTTTATTAAATTTTTATGCTGTAATACTTCTCCCATTCACAGGAGGAAGGAGCAGAATCATTCATTTGGTTTTCCTTGCGATAGTGATTGGCATATTCTCTGGATGTTGTTCGTCCAGGGATGCATTGTCATCTAAGTGGCAATGTCATCTAAGGATTTCACATTTATTACAAATGAGTGCAGAGAACATTCACATCTCATTTTGGTTTTTGTAAATGCACTAGTTTTCTTTCCAATGCCTTCCACTTAGGTTAGGGAAGCGATACTCATCCTTCTCTTTACTAAGTTTTCTTCTTCCAGCTGGATACTTTCTTCATGCTGGAATTCCTCCCTTTCCCTTTCATATGTCTCTCACAACTTGCCCTTCTAAAGATTCCCCAACCTGCTTCTCAGTAAATATACGAGGAAAAGCATTTCCTGTTTCCGCCCACATGGGAGATGGACAGGACCTTCCAACACGCACAGTCAGTCCAGACCTGCCCTGGTCTGTGGTTTCTTCTGAAAGGTTGGCCCTCTTTGGGTTACTGTCTGTATAATGTCCCCAAGGCCACTGTCCCTCTCTCCCTTCAGCCTGGAGGAGAGCTTCAGTGCTGAGGGTCACTTGCTGGTGAGTGTGACACAGTTCATTCTGCAGATGGCACCAGTGCACTCTCAGCTGCCCCCGCCACCCCCAGAGGGCCTCAGAACTCACAGCTGCATTTGCCCAAGTTTACATGTCACGAATATGTTTTCCCACGTCTTCAGTATTCATTTTGGAATATCAGCTTGTCAGCCACTACAGTCCTTGGAAATAATAAAATTCTGTCTACATTTGCAGTTGGTTGTCCCACAGTCGCCGTACCTGTGAAGTGCGTGTGTGTGTGCCTGCATGTGTGTACATTCTTATATGTTGTGCCGTCTACCCTGGGACTCACAGAGATCCATCAGGGTTCCAGACATTTCCAGAAGTGACCTTGAGATGCTCAGTAGCTCGTCTGTGTGTTCTGCAGGTTTGGCGTCACCCACTGCCATAACCCCAGTAGCCTCACCCATTTGCAGTAAAACAAGAGGCACCACACCCGTTTCCAAACCCCTGGAAGGTAAGTCGCCAAGGCCCCGGCCACGCCAAGCCTGATCAGAAGAGGCCTCAGTGATGCGGTCTCACTGACAGTTTCTGCTCGCCTAGATATCGAAGCCAGACCAGATATGCAGTTGGAATCGGACCTGAAGTTGGACAGGCTGGAAACCTTTCTGAGAAGGCTGAATAACAAAGGTACCTACTGGAAGCTGGAAGGCTTTGCTCTCAGAATCCCTAAATCCAAATTCTGATTGCTTTTCTTCCTCAGCTAAATTGTTTTCTTTCCATTATGGCTTTACTAAGTCATACTGTCATCATTATCTTTGTTGTTATCTTCAAAAAATGAAGTTTTGGTCAAGACTGATTAGACTATCAACCCCTGATTCACTTGATAATGTACTAAATTGGGGGCCCCAATAACACATTTGCTCTTGAATCTAAACTCTTGGGATGCCATCCAATCAGAATTGTGAACTGAGTGATTTTGCTTATAACTCTGAAAGCAGATTATTATATGTCGGCCAAATCAACATGATCTTGGGCCTGGTGAACTTTAAATTGTATGTTATCACTTTCCAATAAGGTAAAAGCTGACGTTATTTCTTATAATCACAAATGATTTCTAAAAGAAAATTATGGCAAATGAATATTGAAATAAATATTTCAATATAAAAGTCAACGAAATACACAAAATAAAAGCAATATGCAGAAATTGCCTTTTATCTCTTGATTAAAATGTCCAATCCAGGAAACTTACCAAATACTAGGCACTGGGAGCCCCTCCTATTGACAGTGACCACTAAAAGGTTGAAAATAATAAAACCACCACTGAACAGAAATATGAAAGTATAATATAATCACTAAACTAGCTAAGCAAGGAATGCCAATCAGCAAAGCATTTATTACAAATGTGGAACAGTGATGTAGCCATGGGTTAGCAAGCAATGGCCATTGCCAAATCCAGCTGCCCACCTGCTTTTGTTTTTTGTTTTTGTTTGTTTTGTTTGTTTTTTAGAGACAGTGTCTTGCTCTGCCACCCATGCTAGAGTTCAGTGGTCCATCATAGCTCACTGCAGCCTTGAACTCCTGGGCTCAAGCAATCCTCCCACCTCAGCCTCCTGAGTAGCTCCAACTATGGGTGTTCACCACCAAGCCTGGCTAATTTTTTTACTTTTTCTGTTTTTGTAGAGATGGGGTCCCACTATGTTGCTCAGGCTGGTCTTGAATTCCTGGGCTCAAGCAATTCCCCTACCTTGCTCTCCTGAAGTGCTGACACTATAAGCCTGAGCCACCATGCCCAAACCTGTTTTTGTAAATAAAGTTTTATTGAGACACATTCATGCCAATGTGAGCTTTTGCATTATAACAGCAGAACTGAGTAGTTGCAACACAGGCCCCTTGTCGCCCCTCCCCATGCAAAGCCTAAAATGTTTACTGGCTGGCCCTTTTCAGAAGAAGTTTGCTGACCCTTGATGTAGAATGAGGCCAAGGCTGGTTCATCCACCCTCAGCAGAAGCCAGTGCAGGTTCAGAAGCGTTCAGTGGGCTGGTGTGTGCAGTAAGGTCAGCCTCCCTCTCTCCCACCATTTTACTGCAGAAGATTTGTTCAGGTGGGAAGTCCTTATGTCAGAGATAGGTCAGAGATTAAGTAAGGGCCTGGGAAGCAACCACAGGACCCTGTATATCACAATCATGTTTCCTCCACTCCGGGAACTTAGGAGGAAATAGAATCTTCAAACTATTGTGAGGCATAATTGGAGTCCTTGTTTTTATAAAACTCTTACGTCATTTGCTTGTTTGTTGATAGTAAGCGGGATGCAAGAAATGGTGCTCACTGTCACCGGCTAATCTGTGGAGGAGGTGATGAAGGCGGATGATGATGAAACCTTTGCCAGATCTTACCACAGCGTGGATTATAATACGCCCACAAGTCCTGTGGAGCTGGACGAGGACTTCAAAGTCATTTTCAATCCTTATGCACCCAAGTGAGTTATTTGGGTCTGCGTCTTTCCTCCACTGAGAAGGGCTTCCTTCGCCTACACACAGCATATCCAC